TATTAGAGTAAAGAGTATGATTATGGTTTTGTACTCAATCATTCACATTATATAGAGAAGATATTGAAAAAATTTCAACATCTTAATATAAAAGAAGCCTCTATTCCATGGGATCCTAGTATGAGGTTGACTCTAAATTTAGGTCATATTGTTGCTCAATTGGAAATGCAAGTGCAATAGGGAGTTTAATATATGCCATGCATTGTACTAGGCCAAACATAACCTTTGCAGTATGCAAATTATCAAGGTACACAAGTAAACCAAACCATGAACATTAGAAAGCTATTAGAAGAGTTCTTAGTTATCTTAAAAAGACAAAGAACTTGGTTTGAACTTTTGGCAACCAAAAGGTACCTCTATGAAATGGTGTTTTTCTAGAGGGATACATCCCTACAAATAGTGACTTTTTTAGGCAATATAAATTCCTATATAAAGTCAGAGTTCTACATCTAATTTCTGAGAGAGTTTTGAGTTCTATTATATCGTAACGGATTTTAAATTCTTAAGGAAAGTGAGATCATGTCTCAGAACATTCCTTTTATTCTTCTACTTTTTCATAATTTCCAACAATCTTAAGGAATGGGACTTAAATATTTAGATTAGGCATTGGTAATGGGAACCCAACTTTTATTTAGTCATTTCTAAATTTAAAGTTTAATGGGTAAAAAAAAGTTACTATATATGCCTGTTTAACACTTGATACATATTCCTACTTTAGTCAAGTGCTATCTATTGTGTCTTGGAGGATGAGTGTATACTCTTAATGGAGTTGTTCATTATTAAGTATCTATAGTAACAGGGACATAAAGAACTCCACTGAAATGATCATAGAAGTGGTGCTGCTTCAACAAGAAGATGTTGGATTCTGTTGTAAATGACCATTATTGGCAGGATGAGCACATGACCATAATAATGCTAAAAGGTTTTTAAACCTCTTGGATTAGACAGACAAAGTCTTATATGTGTCACACACTTATGTTTAATATAAGTAGTTATGGTTTAATCCTTGGATACCAATAACTTCATTAGATATGAAGTATGTGTACTAATAGAAGGTTTAAATCGAGAGATACTTTCTTTAAGCATATTTCTTGTTAAGTAGAACTAAATTAACATTTCCAAACTAGTGGGGGAATGCTAAATAGTTTGTAAATGTTTAAGATCCTACATAAAGAAAGTACACAAACTTAAAGGAGTTTGTAAAGACATATTTTTTATCAATAAATAATTAAATAAAGTGAAACCCATGGCAAATTGGGTTTTGCCTCTTTATACATAGTCAAAAGATAAGTACTTGAGGCACTTTGGAGTTTGACTGTCAGAACATCATTATTTTTTTTATTATTTTTGGATTTTTTAATTTATCTTATTAAATTAAAATTTAGAAAGATATATCTGAAAATCAGATATAACTTTTGGTAATTAAAAAGTACCTTTATGAAATTATGTTTTTCTGGAGGGATAAATCCTTACAAATAGTGACTTTTCGGACAATATAAATTCCTATGCAAAGTCAAAGTTCTGCATCTAGTTTCGAAAAGAGTTTTGAGTTTTGAGTTTTGAGTTTTGTTGTATTCTAAAAGATTTTAAATCATTAAGGAAAATAAGATCACGTCTTATAACATTCTTTCTATTTTTCTACTTTTTCATAATTTCTAACACGCACCAGCCACCTTGTTGGTGGACTTCGCCAGACGATCAACCAGAACTTAATTCGTGTGCAATACATTCTTGAGTGAAAATATACACAAAGTGTCTGTCTACAACTATTTTGTACATACAAGTAGAAAGAAAATGGATTAAATGTCAATTTTAGTCTTTTAACTTTAAGTTTTTATATAATTTTTATTTTTTAACTTTTTATGTATTTTTTTATCTTTCAACTATAAAAAATGTACTTTTTTTAGTTCTTTGTTAGTTAATCTATTAAATTTGTGTAAGTTAAGAAAAATTAGTCTAAATTATGGACGATGCTAATTGAAAGAAAAATTAGTTTAAGGTATTACTCACAGAAAAAAAGAATATGTAAGGCATAAAGAGTAGGTTTGACCCTTATATAATCCTATCCTATAGGCGGGGGGAGTTGCCTCTGGGAATCAAACCCAAGACCAAAGGCAGATGCATAGTCAATGGGCAAATGACACTAATATGTTCATATCGACTATAAAATATATATATATATATATATATGAATTAAATATAAAAAATTAATATTATTTTATACATTACCAATTGATTTTAAATTAGTTGTAAGTTTTATATTGAATCCCACATATTAATTTTCACATGATCTCGAGTTTATTGTTAACCCACCTAAAAACACTTCCAATTAATACAAGACTTGATTTTTGTTTAAATATAAGTTTTATATTGAACTCACATATTAATTTTCACAGTTCATTGGTGTGGAGTACCAACCCTGCCAAGGTAATAGGACTCAAAAACCTGCATTTCTACAAACATAATGATTCTATATAGTGGAATTAAGGAGATGAATCCGGCTACTCGATTAATACATGCCCTTCTGAAGTAAAACTAGTAGATCTATATGCTGGAACCACCATTAATATAGCGAATTTAGCACAACTAATCTGGTTAACTCGATTAATATAGACCCACTAGAAGTAAATTCACCTAGATAATTCCAGCCAAAATGACAACTATGGAAACTGATTCTACCCCTTTTGAACAGGAAGGAAGAAAAAAATCTATCTTTATGAAGATTTGAGACCATAGAGTTATTACTCATCCATAAGCTCTAATAATCATACAAATAATAGAAACCTACATCTTGTCTCTTTGATTGATACGGGATTTAAAGATGCAGCCTTTTGTTAATTGTGGATTATTTCGGTCTATCCAACAAAATCAGGATTCATTATGATAATAACAGGTGCACATTAAAATCCCTCTTTATGCTAAAATGCCACTTTTATCTCTAATAATATATTTGAGTTGAGGAGAAAAGAGAAAAGAGGAAAGAGGAAATAAAATTTTTTTTATTTGGTTATAAAAAAATTGAAGTAAAGGAGAGGGAAAATTTTACCTTACTTTTTTTTTTCTTTTAATTTATTTACTTATCTAAATAATAAAAAGGAAGAGGAGGGGAATGAAAAAATATAATTTTTTTTCTCCTCCCTTCCATTCCCCTAAATCCAAAGATACAATAAGTTGAAAACACTGGCTTATAGGTAAAAAACATGGTGGTCAACTACTGAAAGGTGGTTGAGACTCAAATCTAGTGATTAAGCTCTCAAGTCTCAATCCCCTTGCTAAGAAATTGGGACTTACTACTTGAGGGCTTGCCGATTCTACAACTAAGGGTGTGATTTTCACTAAGACTCAAAGATTTTTTTTTTATTAACTAAGGTTCTAATTTAATATAATTGTAGTTTTTAATTTTTAATTTTAGTTTTTAAAAATTTAGAAATCTTAAAATAAAATTAAATAGTTCTATAAATTAATTATTCAATGTTATGAATGAAAAATGTCAAACCGAACAATAATCTATGTATATGAAAATGACTTTACATTAAATTTATTTGGCTCAACAACAAAAAAGAAATTTTCAGTTATTCAAATTAAATTTGAAAATGGCAGATCAAAAAACAAAGAAGAAGAAAAGAAAAAGAAAAGAATAACATTAAATTTGAAAATGACTTCCATGGCCTACCCCTTGAGGTTGTTACTTAAGCGTTATATAGGTCTATGCATGTTCATGTTTTCTTAAGTCTGACACTATTTTTTTTTACGAATCAAAATTTATTAAAAAAGTACGAGGGGTACTCACCCTTACAAGAGAAATGAGAAGACAAGGGTTACATTTTGTAGTTTAAATTTCATCATCACAAAGATTTGAAAATTGACACCAATCATCAAAACTAAGCACTGTAGATTTTGATTTTCCTTTAATTCAACAAAAAGTTTTAACTTGAATTATATCATAAATGTTGTTTTCTTCCCAATTCAATTTATTGAACACAATACCATTTCTTAATGTTTGAACCTCGAGACATGAAAAAGAAATGAAAAGACTAAATCAAAAGTATGAGCTTACAAAAGTGCTGTCCATGCATTTTTTTTTCCTTTTTCTTTTTTTTTTAAATAATATTAAGTAATTATTATATTTTTATTTTTACATTAATTTATTATAAAAGATACATTAGTTTAAT